TGAAGGGTCCCAGTGGAACGGGGGGGGGGGGTGTTTAACATTTTTGCTGCTAAAAGCAAACCTGGGGACTGACGGTTGGATTCACAGGGAATTTTTTCCGGCACGTTCCCTTAACCTGCATCTGGTCGCGTAACTCCTTCCTTCCCCCATTTCTAATTTGCACTAATTTTAGGGATTTTTTTTATAAAAAAAAAAAAAAAGACCATGAAATGGCATCTAGTAGAAGGCAGACCTTAGCCTCCACAAGAGGATCTCTCCCCCCATATTCAGAGTGGAAATAAAGAGGGTTTAGTTTGCAAATTGCTTTTGCAGCAGTGCCAGAGCATCATCCCGGTGAAACGGGGACCGGGACTGGCTCCATTATCACCATCACCCCTGGAAAAAAAAAAACCCTCCTTCCTCCCAGGCTAAACCAGCAATAGCAATTTTATACCTCGATGTGAACTAAACCTCTGACTTTCCCCCTCCCGTGAGTTTTTGCAACGTATCTTTGTAATTTTGTTTTTATTTTGATGGTACCTTTTCCACCTTTAACATGTGTTAGGGACAGAATTGTACAGCGGGAAAAGCTTTTTACGTGTTTGAAGGATGACGGTGGCGTTGCTTCGTTGATTAACAAGAAAACAAACTATGTAGCAACCTAATACAGAATGAAAACCTCCCGAGTTCGAGCCTGGTTTGTTCAAAATAAAGCACTTTGCGGCTAGAAGTGCTGCTGCAATGTGCTCCGCGTGGGCTGGGGGCGACGAGGGAGAAGAGCGAAACCTGCCTGAATCCTGGCAAAGTTTCCCAAGGAGAAATGTTCCCGCCCCGCAGTTTTGGAGACTCACAGCTGAATCGCTGGAGGATTTGGGGGGCTCTTGGAGGGTTGATCCAGCCCTTGGAGAGTATTTCTCCCCATGCAGCGTGGTTGGTGGGCTCCATCCGCTGGCTATTTCCCTCCCAGAAGGTAAAATTCACCTTTAGAAGAAAACCTCTGCCTTGCTCAGCCTGGTTTTAAACCCATCGCGGTTTTAAACCTGATACATTCATGGGTTTTCGCCTCCTCCAGGCTGAGCTCTCCGCATCCCCAAGGTCGCCCCAGCCCCGCTTTGCTTTCTCCTCGAAGCTGCTGGCCCTGCGTTATCCAGCCCATTGAAGCCCATTTATCCCTCCCCGCACAGGAGGGGGATACGAGTGACGTTGGCTCCGCTTAGCCAAGCTTTACCCGCCGGGAAAAGTCGCATGCGAGTCGAGCCCAGCGGCCGCAGACGGGAGGAGCCGTTGCCAGCGCGGCCCCAAGTGCACAGGTAAGGGTGGCATCCTCGGCACGGAGCTGAGGGATAAAAAGGGAAGGAATTGGGTGGATAGCAAGGTGAAACGTGTTGGGCTTTGGCACGCACCTGAGCTGGAGGGTGGGATGGGGAGCGCAGCCCGGGGAGGCACCGCAGCTTTCCCGGCCGCTTCCACACTGGGGTTTTCCCTGCGTTGTGATCCATAAGCTTGGGTAACGCAGGGGAAATAAAGAGGGGGAAAATAGGAAGGAAAAAATCCCCACATCTTCATTTTTATAGGGTTTGCGGCATTTTCAGTGGTGGCAACACAGCTGCAAACAGCTGGAAGGGGGACACACACTTCTCCGGGCTTTCCTTAAATTAAATCCCATTAGCTGGAGGAGCGGGGCAGCGAAACAAGGCAAATTAAATTAATCAAGCCCTATTTTTTTTTTTTTTTTTCCGAAGCACTGGATTTTGAAGGGGGGGTGTCAGGCCTGGCACCTTCTAGCAGGGGCCGCGGGAGGGAAACGCTGACGCAGGGAAGCTGTGGCCGGGGCGGCCGGCCAGGCGGGCTCTGCTTTTTCAAAAGGCTTTTGTCAACACAGCTCCTGTTATTTCGGGGACAATTTTGGGGCCGCGATGGCTCA